AGCGATAAGATAGAGCACACACTGTTGTGGTGGGAAGCTCAGCATGTCTGCTCACAGGTGCAGCAGGTCTGGACAGGTTTGAGTGTGCAGTGTTGTTACTGTTCTGTTTGAATTAGATGTGAGTGTTGGTCATTCGGCGCAATGTCACAGTTCAAACAGCATGCAAACATCAAGTTCATGTTCAAATTGGGATCATCTGCTTCAGAGATGCTATCAGCCCTGCAGCATGTTTACAGTGATACTGCACTAAAGAAATCTGCAGTTTATGACTGGTTTTCCTGGTTTAAGAATGGGCAGGAGACGTTAGAGGATGACTAGTGCAGCGGGAGACCTTTGACATCCAGAACCGAAGAAATGATTGGAAAAATGCGACAACTGAGTTGATGTGATTAAAAAATGACCATCGTGGAGTTAGAGCAAGAAGTTGGTACTGTTACTGGCCATTTCTACATGCAAGTTTTGCAGAGGTTGCGCGATGCGGTTCGGAGGAAGTGGTGCAACAAGTGGCAGGGACAGTGGTTTCTGCATCACGGTAACACATCGAGCCACACATCACGTATTGTACAGCAATTCCTCACCAAGAAAAACATTCCTGTCATCACTCGCCAGATCTCGCTCCGAGTGACTTTTGGCTGTTCCCTAATCTGAAAATGGGCCTCAAGAGGACACGTTTCACAACCATGGAGAACATCAAATCTAATGTGACGGCCGAGCTCCGGAAGATTTCAAAAGAAGCCTTCCACCACAGCTTCCAACAATGGCAGGATTGATGGAGCAAGTGTGTGTGCGCGCAAGGATCCTACTTTGAAGGTGATTAGGTAAGCGCTGCCGTATGTTTTACCATTAGAGTGCTATACCACCATTCCAGGAACTTTTTGACTGACCCTCATGTGTATATATATAGGTATTCCTGGTTTTACGAACACTTGATTTACGAATTTTCGTGCAATGAAGGGTGTTAATTTGTACCTATTTCTCAAACTTCATTTTTGCTGCAGAAAACAGCTTACGTTCAAAATTTCAATGATTTTTATACGTAAGGTATGCAGAAATTTCATTTTTGATTTACAGCTTTTCACCTTATGAGCAGTTGTCATGGAACAAATTACCTTCTGCAAGTTTTTGGGTATCTGTAGTGTTACTCGTAAGTGAGATCAGAACATGATCTTGAATGGTGAGTAGGTAACAGTTCATCAGCCATAACCTGTTTGAAGGCATTTGCCTGGAGATACAGAGGAAAGCCATGAAAATTCTTCATTGTAGCCAGATACATAGCTGAGATTCAGGCTCTGTATCTGCCAGTAATGGTCTATCATCAGCAATTATCATTTTCACAAAAAATATTTAGAGAACTTCTTGAAACCTGTATATTGTATTATTTTTAATATTGGCTGTTGTGACTGGACTGTGATGCAGTTTACTTAAACACACTGCTGACAGGTGAATCTGCGGGCAGTAATGTCTCTGTCGTCAGTTGTCATCATTTTCATGAAATGTACTTATTTATAACTTCTTGAAACCCATATTTCATACTTCTTCAGTATGGGATGTGACGATTGGATTTTGAATACGCTTCGGTTAAACACACAGACTAGATTTTCAGTACACTTCATCTAAACACACTGACTTGTATACGTTTTTGTATTGAATTAAGGAATGCAGAATCTCTATGTCAGTCAGCTGTGTTACATTGGCTACATGCTGGATGGTCAGAATTCAATTTCTAGCAGGGTCAAGATTTTTTTCCTCTTCATAGTATTCAGACTAGCTCTGAGGCCTGCCCAGCCTCCTATCCAGTAAGTACTGGGGGTAAGGCGGCTGGGGCGTGAAGCTGGCCATTCACCTCCACCTCCAACTAGAATGTCCTACACCCCCACCCCCTTCCAGGGGTGACATAACAGCATCAGTGCAACTGCCGCTGCTACGGTAACAGGCCAGTCAACACTCCGTCCCCCCTCCCCACGGTGACGTAACAGCACTTCCCAATGTGACGTAACAAGGGAACACCACTGGTAACACGAGGCAACAGGGAACGGTATAAATGGCCGGCTGAGCAGTATGCGAGCCAGAGTGTGTGATCAGGAGTGACACAGTGTGGATTGTGAAGTCGCATAGAGCAGTGGAAGTAATTGTGAATTGTATAAGTGTACGAGCGAATATGAAATAAATTCGCTATGAGCAGAGGAATATCATACATGAAATAAGAAAATGGAAGGCTAATTGGATTGGTCATATCTTACACAGTAACTGCCTTTTAAAAGAAGTTATTGAAGGAAAGATAGAGGGGCAGATAGAAGTGATCAGAAGACGTAAGAAGATGCTGGATGACCTTGGGGACAGAAGAGGATATTCTCATTTGAAGGAGAAAGCTCTAGATCGCGTTAAGTGGAGGAACTGTTTTGGAAGAGACTGTGGACCTGTCTTCTGACAGATTACTGATGAATGAATGAATTCAATACGGCGTGAAAGTATTTGTCACGTTGCATACCCAACACATGCCAGTATATTTGTCACATTGTGGATGGATTTGAAACTGAAAAGTAAATCTGAAAGTAATATTAAATTTAATATTAAAGAATATGTTTTGAAGATGGAACTGGCCTGAAATGGCTTAGGAATGTTTTCTTGAGCCTTTTGGTTCTTTAGGCACTGAGTTATCTTTTAGTAGATGGTATGGGGTTATGTCTTGTATTTCTGTCACGTTGAAGATTGGATTCTTGAATCCATGCGAGACTGACGTGTGGTAGTTCAGGCTTTTACTATATATTTTCTGGTTTTAGCTGTGCATTCTTGTAGATTCATATAAACTTTTGTAACAAAGTGTACAATGTTGTTACACTCACCACCAAACCAGCAACTGGTAACACCAAAGTTTGGTTGGATCAAGTTGGCAGATGCTGTGTGGTGTGTTGCTAAAGCTACAGCAAGGAAGAGAAGTGGACCACCAATTGCAAAAACACAGAAGCAAATTAGCAGCTGGCCATCTGACAGAGGGAAGTGATGGAATCTGTAAATGTATGAGAAATGTGTAAAATTTATAAGTTTCTAGTATATTTAGAAGATGCACTTCTATGGTTACAACTTTTATGTAACTTGTCCAAAGTATTTTGAGGCCCTGTAGGGTCTGTAATAATTCCAAATAATTTGATTCTCATGCAATCTGTGGTAAAAGTGTTGGAACTTGTACACTAAGAAACACAGAAACCCATGTAAGACGTTATGTAAAGTGGTTGTCTGATGTAAATGAAAATTTAAGTGACAGTTTTTTGTAAAATTCTCCAGTATCAAATTTAATTGGAATTCATCTCATGGTTCTAGAGTTCTTCCATTAATTCTGATGAACAGCTGGACTAAACAAACTTAATAGGCTCTCCACTGGATTGTGAATGTTCATAAAAATGGATACTTTTAACATATGCAGCTGGTATGTGAGAAGAAGGAATGAGAAATCTTCAGGTGCAAGAGACATGAACTAGTTCTACTGCTATTCCTGGGTTGCTGCTAGTATGGCAGTTATTTAGTATGTGGAAGACAGAGACATTACAGAAATCATAAGGAATAATGTAATAGCGCTGTTAATACATATAAACAGATGTGATAAAGACTGCCATAGTAATTTCTTTATTTTTTTTTCTGTGCAGTTAAATTGTGGCAACCTTAGAACACTGTATTTGTTTTCTGTGAAACATGCAGCATTTACCACAGGGTCATGAAAACAGTGTTATGTAGTTATAAAATACAATGGTAAATTATAAACTGAAACTTACCTAACAGTTCTCCAGACATTGAACGATACAACATTCAGCCAAAAAAATGCAGACAACATCCAGAAATATGTGAAGAAGGCTGGAAGGAAAATAAATTATATTAATTGATTCGTTTCAACAGAGCTTAAAGATATTAATCGATATGTTCATGAGGGAAGCAACAGTAAATGCCTGTACCTTGGGCCACACACATAGTGTTGCTAAGATTGTGAGAATGGAGCTGAAGAATAGCAAGTGAAATGTCAGCAAGGCAGAGACTGGACATGCTGAACATGAGGCATTTGCCCTGCAAGTCACGCAATTCAGGCACCAGCAGGTACACAATCAGTGTAACCAGGAGAAAGAATGATGACACAAGAAGACATGCTGAATATATAATGTAGTGATGGCTCGTAGCTGGAAGGTCTTCTTCAGGAAAACATACCAGAGCAATATCTAGTACAGAAATCTTTCCACCATCCTCACGTTTTCGTGCTAGACAGAACCTGAAAGAGACATGAAGTTAACACATTACAGTCGATAATGAAAAAAATAAATATAGGTAAAAACGCCCTTTTTGCTAAAGCACCATGCCATAAAAATGTAAAGAGATATATGTTGCACTTGCTCTGGCAATCTAGAAATACAGGATATGCAATGCAGCTGAATAAGTTATGGCTTAGGACCTCATCTTATGAGAGTCCTCAGTATTTCAGTTATATTAATTCACAGCCATTAATTGGGGCACATGGTAGGGTAGTTGGTTGAGGCACTATGCTACAAGCTGGAAGGTCGCGGGTTTGAGTCCCGATGAGGTGGATTATTTCAATTGATTTAATCCTTCCCGCTGCACTATGGCCCTCAGGTCAACTCAGCCTTTAACAGAAATGAGTATCAGGAAACTTCCTAGGGGGTAAAAGGCAGCCAGCGCGTAGGGCTGACAACCTCACCACCACCTGTGAGCCTACTGTCTAGAAAATGTGGGAACCTCGACATCTCACAACCATGTGGGCCTCCACAGCCTGTTACAGGGATAGCTTTTTTATCTTTTACAGCCCTTACTGTGTCTTTTGTTGCATCTTTATTGGTTTTTATAAGCAAATTCAAAACTTTAGTATTTAAGTTTATTATTTTTACGTTGTACATTCTGTTTCATATTTGATGTGTGATGGATGGTACAAAATCCTGGTATTTAAATTCATGTTTTACTCCATATTAAAATTATATATAGGCTTCTCTCTTTGTTATGTGCCCTCTCAAGCCCCAGCATATCTAAATCCACCCTCCATCTATAGCTTAATTCTCTGTCTGCTTTTAAATCAGGAGATAGAATCGCGTACATTCATGGTGCATGAGGGCGCATAGGCCGAAGAACCAGACCCCATAGCCAGTCATTAGCAATGGATATTAAAAAATCAGCCTCTGTGAGCTCCTTTTATTAATCTGCTCCTATATTGAGATTCGTATATAAATTTTTGATCAGAAAACCTGAAGAGAAGAAACCATTTATGAAAATTAGACTTGGGTGGGCAGATAACAGTAAAAATGGATCATAAGGAAATAGTGTGTGACAATGTAGTCTGGATTCATCTGGCTCAGGATGGGGTCCATTTGCATGGCTCTTGTGGACATAGTAATGAACCTACAAGTTTTATGTGAGGGAACTGGCTGAGTGACTAACAGCTTCTCAAGAAGGACTCTGCTGCATGGTGTTAGTTACAGTTTGCATCATCTGAACTTCTTGAAATCTGCATAATTCTTAAACTTAATCTTTTAATACTTTTTTATTGTTATTGTTTCTGGAAAGTATTTAGTATCCCTGGCATGAAATATTTGTAAATACATGGGGCCATACTTACTGTGCTAGAATAGTAATTGGCGAACTCAAACAACTCCGTGGCCTGTAGTCCGCAAACGAACTATACCGACCGAGCAACTGCCGCTTGTCGGCGAAGTTAGTGCCAACTTTTGCCGATAGAAGGTGTCACATGGTCAGCACAACGGATCCCCACGGACATTAATCTCGGTTTTCTAGACCGGAGCAGCTGTTTCCTTGAAATAGCTCCTCAGTTATCCTCATGAGGCTGAGTGGTCCCCGTTCCAGACCCACTACTTCTTAGAAAGTCTGGTAGCGCCGGGAATTGAACACGAGACCTCCGGATCTGTAGCCAGGAACTCTGACCACTAGACCACAGCGGCGGACTTGCTCACTCAGTCGTTTAATTTGTCAGTTGCTTATTGTGTATAATGTATGTCAGTGTATAGTATTTTCATTTAGCTAACCGAGAAACTTACTTATTGTGTTGTATGATGTCTTTGCCTGATAGAAGATTGCCTGTTGTTGGGTCCACAGTGAATACATCATCTGGTAATTCATTTGGATCCAATATGAAGATGCCAGAGCCATTGCAGTTTATACGCACTGCAACATCTGGAAACTCATCACAATGAGTCTGCTTCATATTAAGTAGATTTGACCCAGGACAGCAGGGTGTTGCACCACGGGCAACAGTTGCCAACCCTACCAACATCCAGTACATTGCTGAAAAGCGAAATTAAACATAGGATCAGGATTAACGTTTAACTGGGGCGATCCAATCTCAGAGGAATTTGAAGTCCAAAGCATTTTCCTTACAAAAGGTTCTTTCAGAAATAGGAGATAAAATCAGTGCAAACACATTGCAGACACTTTTATGTGGTTGACCTTGAAAACGAAATAGATTGCTCGTTAGACCACTGTTAGTCGCTGATTACACTAGCTAGGACATGTAAATGTTCTGTAACAATTATTCTTTAATTATTTCCTACATGCTTGACTGACCAAGGCTTCCACTATCTTATAATAATAATTTCCTGAGAATTATCTCTAACGTTTAAGTACAATACAAGAATTATATCCTTGTCGTCTGTGTTCATTGCTTCTATAGATGGTTAAATTTCAATCACAATTAGGTGAAAACATTTTCGATAAAATTGTCATTTCGCGTTTGAGCCGTGGGAGCGCGTGCCGTTATTTTGTGATGATACCATCTATGCAGTTTTATATAGGGCTGTTGTTTCCATAAGTTACTAAAATGTAATCAAAATTAATTGAGTCGTTTTCGAGAAATTCATCATTTTGCTTCTTGGCGCGTATTTGAAGGATGCCTGTTTTTGGAGCTAGAATGTTCATATTCATCTGGCACCGACCCATGATCAAACAAACTCCGTGGCTTTAGTCCGCAAGCGAACTATACCGACCGAGCGACCGCCGCTTGTCGGCGAAGTTAGTGCCAATTTTAGTGGATAGAGGGTGTCGCTTGGTCGGCGCAACGGATACCCACGGCCGTTAATTTCGGTTTTCTAGACCGTAGCTCGTACTTTTCAATTCAAGTAGCTCCTCAGTTATCCTCACGAGGCTAAGTGCACCCCGTTGCAGACCCACTACTTCTCGGAAAATCTGCCATCGCCCGGAATCGAACCCGGGACCTCTAGACCACAGAGGCTCAGAACTCGTAAATATCGGTTGTGAAGGAAATCCGTCCAACTCTTCGGGTTCTAGCGAGTGCCACATCTCTACACATAGACAGCATTCCAAACATCACTCCCTTGTAATTAGGGAGGCGGAAAGTGTGTAAATCCGTCAAAATCTGTAGGTCGTTTTGTGTGTGTCCACAGTATTTTCTCATATATATTACGTATAGAGGAAGTAAAACAGACATGAAAGAAATGCCCTTCATATGGTGATTTGTTATGATATCAATCTGTCATATGTCATGTGTGAAAACAGCAAATAACAAAGATAAAATTAATTACAGTGTTAGCCCGAACATAAGGAGAGGAGTTTTCAGTACTGCTGAAAAATAGAGGGGTCACCTTATGTTCAGGCCCTTAAGAATAAATATGAAAAGGTGGTGATTATCAGGAATTCTAATTGCTAAATGTAATGATGTTTGTGAAAATACGTAGAGTTATTTTTNGGAGTGGGATTACATATAGAGGAAGTAAAATAGACATGAAAGAAATGCTCTTCATATGGTGATTTGTTATGATATCAATCTGTCGTATGTCATATATGAAAACAGCAAATAACAAAGATAAAATTAATTACAGTGTTAGCCCGAACATAAGGAGAGGAGTTTTCAGTACTGCTGAAAAATAGAGGGGTCACCTTATGTTCAGGCCCTTAAGAATAAATATGAAAAGGTGGTGATTATGAGGAGTTCTAATTGCTAAATGTAATGATGTTTGTGAAAATACGTAGAGTTATTTTTACTGTATTAAATTTTTAAATTTTTATTTCTTAACGATACAGATTTTATTTAATTTGCTTACAACCCTCATATCAGGGTACAGTGAAGTTAACTCAAGCGGTGATTGTTCTGACCCATATTTGGAAATGTTTGAATCTCAGCTGAGCCATCAATATTCTGAGATTTTTCATGGTTTCTATCAGTTTGTCCAGACAAATTCCAGGATAGTGCCTCAAATTAAACTCCAGGCACTTCTTTCCATGTCCTTTCCAGTTTATTCGTTATAATGCAGTCATTCATAGTTCAAGTTAGTGCAATCATTAAGTAAACTACAAATGAATAGTACACGATCCTGAGAAAAAAGGATAATTCAATATCAATAGCAGGACGCATTACAACTCACCCTGTAGAGACAAGAACAAACACTAGGTAACTAGTTATAAGGTGGTTTAGAAGGCAATGAGTCATGTGACGCTACCTCGCATGCGCGAACTCTCCCTCGCTCCTACATTACTTGCATACAATGAACGGAAGTTACTTTCCGAATAGCCATATACGTATAAAATCCAGAGGATAGACCTACGTGTTTTTAAAGGCCTTACATTGGATACGAGAATAGATTCATAAAAATAGTCAGTCAGCCGCCCCCCTCCCATTCCTTGTACATAGTGATCCATCCGTCTCTTTACATGCTATGTAGATGTCTTTGTTCGACCTTTGTTCGACAATATATAGTGGATCCAGTTTGTACAGCGTTGTTAACTGTTTAAAGTTCATTGGTTACAATGCGCATCAAGTACGCGTTGACATTCAGGAACTCTGTGTTTTGCCTGCAGAGTATGTTTCATATGATTTTCAAAAAGAAAACCCATATTAACAGGTGAGCTTTTGTAATTGAGACATACGTAATATTGTCTGCGAGTAGGAACTGAATTATTAAATATCATTTAAATTAATTTCAGGCTTCAAAGGGCTAAGCTTTCACTCACTCATGAAGCTGAGCCCTCCTGGAGGAGCCGCCAATTCTGCAGGTATTCAAGAACTTCCCAGAATTTTATGGAACCCAGAGGTTCATTACCGTTTTCACAAGAGCCCTCCACTGATCCTTATGCTGAACCAGATCAATCCAATCCATACCATCCCATCCTATCTGAGATCCATTTTAATATTTTCTACCCACCAACAGCTTGGTCTTCCCAGTGGTCTCTTTCCTTATGGCTTTCCCACCAATATCCTATATGCATTTCTCCTCTCCCCCATTCGTGCTTCATGCTCTGCCCACCTCATCCTCCTTGACTTGATCATTCTAATTATACTTGGAGAAGAGTACAAGTTATGAAGCTCCTTATTATGCAGTTTTCTCCAACCTCCTGTCACTTCATCTCTCCTCGGTCCAAATATTCTCCTCAACAAGAGCTAAGATATACGTATATAAAACTCATCTACAAACCGACAGCTTCAATTAATGCCGTATGAATTATTTGTATCGAAACAGCATTGCATCCAGAACCTCCACTTGATGTTGTATTTAAGTAGTTTGGATGTCCTTCATTGGAATTATTTTGGGATTAGACATAAACCAAATGCTAACCTCTCTTGCTTTCAGATAAACGCATATTATGCTGGGATCAACATTTGTAATAACCTGCCATCTGAACTCAAAGGTCTTATGAATGAAAAGGCATGATTTAAAATAGCACTGAAACGATACTTAAATACACATTCATTCTACTCTGTTGATGAACACCTGTTGTCTGGAAAATAACTTATGTATCTTTAAATAGCCCTGTGTGTAGTCACTGTGTATTCTTGGTTTCTCTTGTGTGAGAACTCCACGGGGTCTGNATACAGCCTCTTTATTACAACCGTCACAACACAACAAATATCAAGATCAGTGCCTAGTTTGAGCTCTGCTACATGTTTCGGCTATTAATAGCCATCATCAGGCAAATACATGGCTAACATATATACACCACTGAACCGCAGTACTAGTAAAATTGGATACAATATTATTAATTATATAAAATACTTGACGTAAAAATACAATAAATTAGATTATATAGAACAAAAGTTGTAGTATAAAACAAGAATAAAATTCTTCGATTGATGTTTTACATCATCGAATCAGTCGTTGGTTTTTGTAATTTTGTTGCGTTCCCAAAACATTGGGAGGCTCGTGATGTAGATGTAGTAATATTAATGTTAATCTGAAAATGATATGAAAGTAATAGTATTAAATTTTGTTATAATCAACAGTTGATTTTGGTATTGAAGATATAATGTATTATTTACTTACTATACAGTCGGTGCCTCATCTTACAAAGATTGTCCATTCTGTAGGGAATGTAAACAATGACTGATTTGGTGATGTATGTTAAAANGGACGATATGGAGAGGTGAAAATTCTTACTCCCGCCGGGAGCAGTCGTCTAGGCCGTAGCAATTCGCTATACCGACTGAGCTATCCCGGCTCTGTGGGCAACACGTATGCGTGTTTTTATTTGTGGTTTGTATAACGACGTTGTTAGTAGTTTGGGCTATTTAAAGTCGAATTCTAAGTTTATTTAATGAATAATCAATTGGAATGGATATGGAACGAAGGAGGCATGTCTACTTTGAAGGTATTGTCCCAGCGTTCGCGTGGAGGGACAGGAAAACCACGAGAAACCCGAGTCAGAGTGGTCTGTGCCCCGGCAAGAATTCGAACTGGATATATCCCGAATACAAGTTAGCGCGTTAGGTCCTGAGCCGGGCCGCCCCATAGCTCAAGCGGTTAGTCGCTGGCATCCCACCACGGCGGCCCGGGTCTGGTCAAGTGGGATTTGTGGTGGACAGAGTGGCGCTGGGGCGGATTGTCTCCGAGTACTTCGGTTTCCCATGCCAATGTTCATTCCACCAAATTCTCCATCATCATAATCACCCGGGGCAGGCTACAATAGGCCAATCAGTGGCCGCCGTGCCGAGTGGACCCTGTTGGAC